GGTGGTGCCATCGCGTGTTGAAGTTGACGTGTCGATATCCTCAGAAGTCGCGTTCCGCGCCCCCGTGTGTTCCGCGCTCACGTGGCCCGCGTTACTCTCTTACTACTCGATCTCTTACCGCCTGCTTATTAGCTTCGCGCTAGAGGATAGTTGCGTAAAGAATTCTAATCTTCCGGTTAGTTTTACGATTAGCTACGTCGACTTCCTCCTTCGCCTTAGTATAGTGAGCCTCACCTTTAGGATCTCTTGCACCCTACCCAAACCTGGACCCTACCCCACCCCCTCCCCCGACCCGCCCCCAAACAGAGCCCCCCGGGGCAACAGGGACCGCCCGAGCAACTTTGGTATGGGCACCCCGCGCGGAAACCGGCTCCCTGGCGCGCGGTCGCCGCCTGCACCGCGCCCGGAGCGGCGAGGGTCATGTTCCTCTGCCCTACCTCGGGGGGCCGGAAGCGCGGGTAGGGCACGGCGCCTAGGCCGCCGTGCGGACGGCTTTCCCCCCTGGATGTCTAGCCGTCCACCCCGGGGCACCTCCTCCGCTCGGCAGTAGCACTTAAGGGAGCAGAGATCCGACCATGGACCCCCAGCGCGGTTGCCCGCAGTACGTCCCGGACTCCGAGGGGCGCGCGGCCGCGGTAGCCTGCCTCGTCTTCGTGCCGGAGTACCGCATCCTGGTATGCCGGCCCTGTGGCTACGCCGTGTGGCCGGCCGAGCTCGCCAGCCATTTCAGGGGCTCGCCGCACCAGGGCGCCTCCGTCTACCCCTTTAACGCCAGCGGCGCGGCCGCCGATGCTGTCACGCGTTGGCCCGCGGCCTGCGGGCCCGATGAGTTTGCGTTCCCAGCGGCCGTGGTCCCCCAGCTGCCCCAGCTACCGCTCTATGCCGACGGGCTCCAGTGCCGGCTCGCCCCCTCGAGCTGCCGACATATCTGCCGGGGCATCGATCAAATGAGGACTCACTGGAGGAAGGCGCACGGCTTCGTCCCGGGTAAGCAGCAGGACGGGTCGCGCGTCCCGAATCGTGCTACGCTCGCCGCCCGCCGCACCGCGGCCAGCCAGCCGGTATGCTGCCAGAAGTTCTTCCGGACCCGCCGCTACTCGAACTACTTCGCGGTCGACCCCGTAAGGAACCAGGAGGCCGGCCCGGCCAGCCCCGCCGCCGCCATGTCGACACCCTCGGTCGCAGATCAAGTCTTTAGCGAGCTTGCGAGTCTCGAGGCTACGCAGGCCGCCCATGGCCGGATCCTCCAGGAGGAGATCGCGACGACGGCGGTGTCCCCGTGGCTCGAGCTAACTCGCTGGGCAAGCTATCTCGCCGGCTTTCCGCTACGAGAGCTCGCGCAGCTCGCGCGGCCCCCGGATGTCGCGGCGGAGCCGGCGCTCGCCCAGCTCTGCTATAGCCTCGATCGCCTCGTCGAGCGTGCCTACGAGGACGTCTGCGCGGATAGGATCAACGCATTTGACCAGGCGCGGATCAACAGTTTCCTCCAACGGCCGCGCGCGTCTGACCGACCCCTCCTTGTAAAGCTCCGGAAGCCAACCTACCGCCGGTATCAGGGGGTCTGGAAGGGCCTGCTATGCTTCGTTGTCCGAACGGCCTCGCCGCAATGCGCCATCCGGCTCCGTCACCAGCTGACCGCAAAGCAGCGAGTCGCTCTCGAGGACTGTCTCCTCGCAGCGTCCCAGTGTCGGAGGGAGTCACCTCAGGAGCCCGCAGTGCTCCCGGGCGACGCCGCCCTCGACGAAAGCTGTCTCGGGCTCTGCATCGCCCTGCTAGACCACGATCTCCGGGGCGACCTGTTCGAGAGCGTAATTGTCGGCTACCTAGCAGTGCTCGGGATCGATGATGCAAGAGGGACCCTCCGGGAAGCGTGCCAATACACGCCGCTCTCGGGCCTAATTAAGATCGCGCAGATGCTCGTTATCCGCAAGGCCGTCCGCGCTTCTGAGCGCCAGGTAGACACTCACCCAGCCGAGTTTCTCGACGACCTCCGCGAGCGATTCTTGCTTCACGGGACCCGGTCGCCATTCAGCTGGGCATGCCGGCTCCGGATGTTTGCAAAGAAGGTCCGCGATTCGACGACCTCGCTTGGCACGATAAGTTGGACCGACGACCTCCAGGCGGTATCATACAAGGACATCTGCGACCTCCGCATTACAAGCTTCCGCGAGTTTATAGCTAAGAAGGTCGAGGCGTGCCAAGCGCTCCTGCAGGGTCTCCTCCTCTGCCATCCGCTCGAGCAGCGGGAGGACCTTGGCGTTGAGTTCAGGATGCACCACCTCGTTGACAATGCAGCAGAGACTGCGAAAGGCTGGAGCTTCCTCCAGCACCCGGAGAATCGGAAGGGACCCCTCCCAGACCGCGACAGATGGCTACTTGAACGCGTCCTTACGCAGGCCTGGCTCCAGGAGGAATTCTGCTACCCAGGGAAGACCGGCCAGGCTATGTGGCGGCCGAAAGCCGTCCGCGCGTATATGAGCAAGGTCGACGCGTTCCTCGAGATGTTGCTTTTGCTTATGCATATTACTGCCGGCCAGCCGGCGCGGAGTACCGAGCTCCTTGGCCTCCGATATATGAATACAATCCATGGGCACCATCGGAACATCTTTATCGACCGTGGGCTTGTAAGCACGGTGCTCTCGTATCATAAGGGTTATAATGTTACCGGTTCGACGAAAATCATCCACCGCTACCTCCCTAGCGAGGTAGGCGAGCTCTTAGTCTTCTATCTCTGGCTCGTCCTCCCCTTCTGTCAGAAGCTCGACCTACTTGCGTCTCGGCGTTCGGCGCCGCCGTCGCCATTCCTCTGGGCCCACGATAACGGGAAGGACTGCTGGAGCAGCGCCCGCCTTAGCCGCGTGATCGAGCGGGGGTTCAAGGACGATTTACAGCAGAAGATTAACATATCGACTTACCGGCATCTTGCGATTGCAATATCGCGTAAGCACCTCGCCTGCGGCGGGTTCAAGCGGGACTACGGCCTCGAGAATTCCACCCTTGATAAGCAGGCTGCACACTCTTCGCTAACTGCGTCGTCGGTATATGCGCGTGGCCTTGGCGAGGCCCCTGGGCACATCGAGGAGCGGAAGTCCGAGTATCGCGCGGTAAGCTATGAGTGGCACCGCTTCCTCGGGTTTGCGGCCCCGAGCTTGCCGCCGCGGAAGCGTCCGCTTGAGGAGAGCGGAGCGCCGACAGCGAAGCGACCTCATAGAGCGTGGGACTTCTAAAGGAGTATATAGGCGTAGATTACGCACGCTATCGCGGTTTGGACGATCTGGAAGCGGTGGCTAGGCCAGGCATATTCATCCGGGTGGATCCCTCGAGATACGCAGCCCGGTCGATCCTTCTGGGGCTCTTCCATCGATGATGACCCTAGTATAGGCACTCGCCTGCTACAAGCATTCCTTTGGCTCACGGAGCAAGTGGACGCAGGCGACCAGGAGGATCCGTTTCGGCTAGCTAGCTTCAGTGTAGTCAGTAGCTAATCCTATTAGATAGGAGTTTTCCGACATGTCTCAAATAGAGCGGAGCATAGTCCGTAGCGTAATAAGTCTAATCCCTATTCGATGGCGCTAATGCCCGGCATCTGTAGTATCGGCGATGGCCGGCTGCACGATCATGCAGGAGGATGTTAGGCCGCGGCACAGCAGAAGGCAGCTCCTATCCGCAAGGCGTTATAAAAGGCACAAGAAGGCCGGACCTCCCTCTGTTCTCTCGCCTGGAAACTCTATTAGCTTCTTTTGTTAACAACACATACTCATTCGGTTAGAAATGCTAGACGGACCGCCCGTGCTTAACAATCGTCCCCGACGGCATACCGTCCGGGTAGCCTGCAATGCCTGTCGATCGCAAAAGCTCCGGTAGGGGTGTCCTAGACACGCTACTTGTTGGACAGGTTCCGCTCCGACCTAGCGTTGCTACTACGCGGCACGGGGCGGCACGGGACAGATGCTAATGATCCTTTGCCTAGATGCGATGCCGCCCGGCCTACCTGTTCGAGATGCGCTAGCCTCTCACGCCTATGCCTATACGACACGAACTCCGAGAGCGAGAGTCGTACTACCGCGCTCCAACGAGAAAACGAGAGCCTCCGTCACCAGCTTCAAGAATATATTGGCGAAGGATTAGGACGCATGCCGGCTTCGTGGGGCTCCTGTACGGCCCAATGCTGTACCGCAACTCGACTGCTCTCTGCTATTATATCGAGCGCTCCCGACGAAGCTGTAGCTATTGTTAGGAGACTCCGTAACGGAATAGACCAGGATGGAATCGGCTACGGATATGATACAGTTAGAGCAAGCGGTGTTGAATAGCATAACTGCGGAATTGTAAAAGACACCTCTAGGAGCCGTGTGGCTGCTGCAAATAGCATGTGACTGTTTCGGAAGTTGAATGACAACCTAGCAAGTGAATGACACCGGCACAAAGAACCACCTTCCTATTTGGCACAGCCTTCCATTTCACCTGTCACATGCTCACAAACCTCTGCAGCCGTCACAAACCTCTTCATCCGTTACAAACCTCTGCAGCCGTCACAAACCTCTGCGGCCGTCACAAACCTCTGCAGCAGTCAAGTACCGGTATGGCGACTCTTCCCAATCACGTTGCTACCGCCTTCGCGCAGGCCCGTCTGGCCGCCCAGGTGCTTACACAACAGTCGACTTCGGCGGAAGCGGTGCAAGTGATTACCGACCTGCTCGCTCGCTGCGCAGGTGAGCCCTGGCACCAGCATATCCACTTCGCCGATCGGGTAGCCTGCTTCATCAACCCGGCCGCCGCCGCTCGCTACGCTGCAGCTACCGGAGCCGCCAACGCTCCGGCCCAGGCTACCATCGCCTCCGTCTTGTCGACCTTCCGCGCGCCGAAGCTCTCCCTCTGTCTAAGCTCAAGCGAGATTGGCCCGGTTGTCGCTGCACCAGCTCGGAACGAATGGCATTGCGTCGGATTTGCCAAACTTGGCCCAGAAGCCCTCATCTACTCGAGCAGCGCTCCCTCTGGCGGCGTCGATCCCGTCCGCCTCCAAAACCTTACCGGCCAAGCCGTTCTCAACAAGGGAATCCGCGATCGCATGTCGGCTGGCGTTCGAGACGGCCGGGTAAAGCTGCTTGAGCCAACCGCGGCCCACCCTGAACAGACCTGCGTCCGGGATGCCGTCTTGTTCCTCATCTACCAGATCGAACAGGTTGCGCTTCAGGGAGGCCCTGCTCTAGTGACTGCACCACGCGCGGGCGAGCGGCGGGTGAGCATTACTAGATAGGGTGGTAGGGCAACGAGAGGGATAGATAGCCTAGATGCGGAAGTCTATCCTCTTAATGATTGTAGCAAAGCGGTACTATAACTTTACCAAAAGCATTTTCTCAGACCTAATATCTTCACATAAGTAAGAACGGTATCTCATCTGTCGCGTGCCGGAGTTTCAGGCGGTTACACTCACTACAAAGCTAGGAGAGTAGTATCCAAAGTTGGGTATATTCCCCTTAGGGTTGGGCTTGGATCGACAAGAACCAGCTAAAGAAACATCGACCTCGCTCGCTAACTATAGAATGCTAAACTGAAGACCTTCAGACAATAAGACACATACAAATTTAAGCCGTGCGCAGGCGCTAGGGTAAACTAGCGACCTTCAGACAATTAAAAAAACGAGACCTTCACCCTTTTCCTGTTTTCCGGCAAATATTCTTCAAACTCGCATAAATTCTAATTGACGGCAAGCATAGCTCGATACTCGAATTTGACATAGTTTGAGCGTAAAATGCATGCAGGAGATGGACGCGAAATGTGCCGAAAAATTGTCAGGTGTTCTCTCAGAATTGCGACAGGCAGGTATACCGAGCCTATCTCCGACGCATCGGCGTTTCCTTGTTCGCATAACTGCGCGCCAGGTGCTTAGCTGCAAGACGATAGGTTGCTGTTTGAACATGCGACACATAAACATTTGAACGCCGTGCTAATGTTAGAAAATGTTAGAAAATGTTAGAAGATATTAGAGAATGTTAGAAGATATTAGAGAATATTAGAAGATATTAGAAAATAATAGAAAAGTTTAGAGAATATTAGAGAATATTAGAAGATATTAACAGATAATAGAAAGTATTAAGAAGGAGTTAAATAAAAGTAAAAGTAAGAATAAGAATAAGAATAAGAATAAGAATAAGAATAGGTAGGGTTAGGGTTAGGGTTAGGGTTAGGGTTAGGGTTAGGGTTAGGGTTAGGGTTAGGGTTAGGGTTAGGGTTAGGGTTAGGGTTAGGGTTAGGG